ATAGGAATAGAGACTGGTGAGGAGAAAAGAGTGTTACTAAATCACTTACAATTACGTTGTTTAAGGAAGTTTTCGAGATGGGAAGTGGAGAGAGAGATCAGTTGAAAGTACATTAAACCCAAGTTTAGTTAGGAAACATACTTAGAACTATATTAAGATTTCAATTTAAAGCTAGACACCTTGAACTCAGAAGGTGTTGGGAAACAAGCAAGTACCCCAATGTCTTTGTCCTCAAAACAGTTTATTTCAAAGAGGACACATACAGTTTCTCCGAGAACACTGCTAAGTACCACCCCACACAGGCTTCATACTGTTAGAACCCTCAAATTGACATCTTTGGTACCCAAGCCACAGGCTGTTCATAGATGGTAGGCAGACTTACAGCATTACATGTCCCTGTGCTAAGAGCTAGAACATGCTGCATCTTGAAGCATGATGGCAGTTCTGAATTCAGAAGCACCTGGAAGCCCTCATAACTTCATGCAGATGCAAGGTACCACCAATAAAGCAATGAGAAGCATCTTATCACATAGGTAGTGTCTTCTGACTTCTGCCAAGTTCCTACTAGCAAGCTTAAAAGTAAAAAAAAAAACAAACCAAAACAAAAAACCCCCCACCAAACAAAAGCCAAAAACCAGAAACCTGACCTTGAATAATTCTTCACTCCTTTCTTAAAATAAACTTACAACTTCAAAATCTAGCTTAGCACTCAGGTTTCACATAGGAATAGAGACTGGTGAGGAGAAAAGAGTGTTACTAAATCACTTACAATTACGTTGTTTAAGGAAGTTTTCGAGATGGGAAGTGGAGAGAGAGATCAGTTGAAAGTACATTAAACCCAAGTTTAGTTAGGAAACATACTTAGAACTATATTAAGATTTCAATTTAAAGCTAGACACCTTGAACTCAGAAGGTGTTGGGAAACAAGCAAGTACCCCAATGTCTTTGTCCTCAAAACAGTTTATTTCAAAGAGAAAAGGGGGGGAGATTCCATTTCTATCAACATACAAAGCAATAGGAGTTACTGTTTGAATGTTACAAGCAGCCATACAGAACAGGACAAAAATTCTGGAGCTCTCACAAGTTCTCTTAAAAGACTTAAACTCTGAAACTTGCGAAAACATTGAAGAAGTTTTATCCAGTATTTTGTTGTCCACACATTAGATCTCCCTTCAGGAGATGAGCTTGCTACAGCTTTTGGAAGAAAACCGACATCCAAAAAGTTTCATTTGTATGTTCATTTGTTAACATATTTTGACACTTTAGGATAGATCACTGAATTCCAAGAGTCTGAGGACAGATTTAATGAAATTGGAGCCAGTATTAAAACACTAGAACACCAGTGCTATGTTTGTGCTGAGACAGATCAAGTATTTTCTCTCAACTGTTTAAGCTATTACTATAGAAATTTGCATTTTCTACTCTCCTAGAAAGCCATTTGAATGCATTTTGTTCTATACAAACCAATGAATAATTGTTTATGCTCAAATCCATTGATTTCATACCAGATACTAGACTAAAAGCAAGAGAATTCCAAACACTGAGATGTCCATCCTGGTCTCTTTGTGCATTATTCCAAATTTCTCTTCAGACTTCTGTTATTGATGCTCCTGTCAGTCCAAGCCTTCAGTACCACCTACACAAAGTAATTCAGACTACCCTATGGCAGCTGACTTTGCCTAGGTAGTGTGCTTGCAATGAAATGATATGTAGTGAAGTACAACAAAGCCAGTGCCAACATCCTAAAATAACTTGCTAGCATGTTAGTTTACTTCCACCCTTTGCCACCAACTACAGTTTAAAGGCAACACTGATCATCTATACAGCCATCCCAGAAGTGGATGCAATCTATGGATAATGACGGTTGCTTGAGTTTTTTGGTTTTGTTGAAAAAGACTAATGCAAACAAGGTTCTCCAAACCAAAAAGTGTACCAAATACTTACATCAAGCAGCAGGATCCCTTCTTACACAAATGTAAAGGATTAGAGTCTTCCAAAAAACATTTTATAAGTGTAGTTGTCTTTGTTACATTCATCAAGTATGTCTTCACCTGTCTGAATTATGCAGAGGTTCTGAAGTCTATCAATTTGACACCCTTCCAGATGTTTGATGCAAAAGTAGTAGCTGTCAAACCTATTTAAAACGTTGAAGACAGAGAAAAACAAAGAAAAGAAAGAACCAAACTGCAGATGGATTTACAAGCAGAGGGACTGAAACTGGGAGTAGTGGCTGATAGACCAGAGGATTTCACTACCATCCAGATGGACCTTAACAAGCTGGAGAAATGGGCAGGCTGAAACCTTATTAAGCTCAACAAAGAGAACTGCGAAGTCCTGCACCTGGGGAGGAGTAACCCCATACACTACTACACGCTGGAGACTGACTGGCTGGAAAGCAACTTTGCAGCAAGTTGCACACAAGCCAGCAAGGTGCCCTTGCAGCAAAGGCGGCTAACAGAATCCTGGGGTGCATTAGGAGGAGCGTTACCACCACGAGGTTGACGGAGGTGACTCTTCCCTTCTACTCAGTGCTGGTGAAGCCCCATCTCAAACACCGTGTCCAGTTCTGGGCTCTCCAGTAAAAGAGAGAAATGAAACTACTGGAGAGAGTCCAGTGAAGAGCCACTAAGAGGATTAAAGGCTTGAAGCATCAATCCTATTTTTTTATACAGTTTTAACTGTATACCTAGCAGAGATGCTTTATGAAATTTAATGTAGGAGTTTTTATAATAGATCTGCTTCAAAAAATAAACTTGCTTTAGAACACTAAGGCCTGAACAAGAAATCCTGTGCTTCAATTGCTTTAAATGAACAGCACACCTTGGAAGTCAAATTGGTAGTAGCAGTCAAACATTCAAAAAGAGCAAGTTTTCTGCAACTGACAAAAATGTACTATTAGTTTGGAGGATAAAAGAAGCTGGATTTTGCAGTAGAATTTTTACAGAGATTTTTGCATGAACTGTTCGACAATGGTTCATCTGAATTTTTCAACATTATTTCAGTAACTTTGCCCTCACTAAAAAGCACCAGTGTGTCATTATACAAGGTTTTTAAATGTATGTTGGTATTCTAAACACCGCTACATTGTCCAATGAAAGTCTGCTAGTCTTAAGGCAGCAGGTAGATTTCTGGAGCTGACCTTAAGTGCCATGTATACTGCAGTGATACAGTGGGAAACAGTACAAACTTCTAACAAAAATAAGCCCTTGGCATTTAATGTTACATGTATATAACTATCTAGAGAAAACACTGACTGTTCCTATCAAATTAAGAAAGCCTGTATTATCAATAATGAAACCAATGTGACTTCAGTAAAGAGTTTTCATGGAATTTGCTATAAACACAATAGTTTCAGACACTAAAGTATATGCCGTACAGCAGCATCCAGCACCGACTCTGTAACTTGAAGTCCATTCTGCTTTTACGTGAGTGTCTGCCTCCCCACCACTATCTGACATAAATACCAAAATTCTGCCCTAGTGATAGAGGGTTGATTAAATAAGGCAGCTAACCAAAGAATGCCAACAGGATGCCAAAAATGCTTTTACTCATGTGCATCTGGTGCTTCTTTGATGCACATTTGAACAAAGTTAAAACTAAAGCTAAAGAAAAAAGCATTCAGTTTAACAGAAATTCAGTTTAACAGAAATCCAAACAAATACCAGTCGTCTAGAGTTTTATGCCTTTCAAAGGAAATTCAGGTTTTGATCTATAAAATCTTCAGTAAACTGTATAAAATACACAGCTCAAACATTTAAACATACGACCAAAAAGACTGTCTAGTCTCTTTTGTATCTGTTTCTTGGATATTCTACTAGTTAATGCCACTTTCTTACAGTGTATACTACATTTCTGCAGAAAGGTAACAAGATATCAAAGCCTCAGAAGGAGTAGAGAGCTTATTCATAGTTCATGTGATATTCCACAAGGCACTGACTTCTGAACTTACTATAAAGATTAACCAGATACTTCTATTTCTAAATAGCTTCCTTGCATACTAACCTTCAATAATATCTAATCATGCTTCAGCATATAAAAACTGATGCTGCTCTCAAGTCTTACCAACCTACCTTACAATGATTAATCATATTCTACAGACACAAAATCATTAAGAGAAATCCAAGAGCAGTGAAGCCAAATAATTTCTGTGCAATAAATAGTCACATGGATTAAATTCACTCAACAGGGCTTCTCAGGTGAACCTAATTACTATGGCATAGAACTAAAACAGAAACCAAAGAATCACTCTCCTTTAAAACTTGAATTAACATGGCATTAATTAGCATTTGATCTGACAAAAACAAAGTTAAACTGACAGGTTCTCTCATGCCACTTGAGTTGTGACTGACACATACTAAAACCATTTTAAGCTTCCTAAAAGATGAATCTGTTGTTTATGCGGCAGTTCTCTTTCATAGGGTCCCCAAAGTAAAATTATACTATGCCATGACTGAAGTGGCTTAAGTCACTTGCAAAGAGACAGATGCCTCTCCTCCAAAAGCCATCATTTCACATGTAAATTTCAAGTTCTCATCTTTGGTTATTGCTAATCATCGGCTCCAATCCTTCCCCACCCTCACCTACAGCTGACAGCTGTGGTCCCTTGGAATTGCAAATGTCTTAAAGGATTTCTCACATCTAAAAAATGAACAAATGCTGTGGTTCAAGCCAAGGTGGAGAACTGAATACATGTATTTGCCCAGGTACAGCAACACTGGGACCTACTGCAAACCTCACCCACAGCACAGTTTGAAATCAGAACAGCTAAGGAGTCTGCAGTAACTTGCTGTCCCACTGACAAACCTATCAGCTTGTGTCCTGTCCTCAGCAGTTTTCCAAGATCACCTGTGGGTGAATATTAGCTACCCTCTGCAGGCATCTCCTTTGGAGTCTTGGGCCAATTTCTTTATCCCCTTCCCAAGTGGTAAACTGGAGCAACAGGCATATATGGAAGGGAAGAGATAATAACAAACAGACCAATGAATGAAACGTAAGCATACCTGAACAGCTGTCTTCCTTAAAAATGAACTTGAGATCTATTTGTCACACAGAAATCTTCTGTCCCACAAGCTCACTGCAGCTGGGATCTTGAATAGGTTAGGACACACTGAGAGGCAGATTCATTCCAATGCTGCTAGCTCCTAATAGACATTACACTACAGCAATGGCAAACAGTCAGTTGTAGCTCTGAAATAGAAAGTCAAGAAAAACAGTTTGAGCTTTGATTCACACACAGCTTTCAACTGCTCAGAGGGACTGGATCAGACTGGAACCATTTTAGAAAAACTGGCAATGGAGAGAACAGTCACAAACAGCAGTTCTGAAACACTGTCTTCCATTACACTCGATGAATGTATTATCTGGATTGATCTGTCTTCATTTAACAGGTCTGAGACGGTGAGGAACTGTGGAGTGAAAGAAAGTTCATCTGCTACACACTCAGTCATTTCTGAGGGCTCAAACTAGTGATCGCTAGCTACTGTGATAAGCAAGGTGATCTCAGAGGCTAGACTCCATGCTAGTTTCAGCTTTCAGTTTAAGACATCCAAGTGTTTGCCTGCAGGCTTTAAACTCCCATTTCAGTCAACACAGATGCTATCAAGATTTCTTGGAGAGATGTTCACAGAACACCGTTTTCACTGGCAATTCCAGGAGAAAAACCACAGACAGTAAGTTGTCTTCTCACCTGATCAGACTGGAGACAATCAGGCAAAGAAGTAGAGGAGACTGGCTACAGCAGACAATGTGTTAATTACTAGGCTAACACTACGGAATATTAATCTCTACAGTTTCTGGATCATATGGCCTCTCTCCTCTTCCCGAATACCATGTTCCTGTAAAAGATGGTTCCAAAATGTACGCTTCAACAACAACAAAAAAACACCCCAACACTGACATAGTCCACAACTGTAATCAAAACAGAAACTTTTACAACTGTCATATTATTTAAGTTTTTTTCTCCCTATACAAAGTAGGACATACTATACTGTTCCTAGACCATTTAGATTATTCTAGTCTCTATTGCAATACATGTTATATTGTACACATCCCAGCAAGGTACCTCCTCTGACCTAGAAATTCAGAATAATCTTGCTGAGTAAGAGCTAAGCATACAAAACTAAAACACTGCACAGTTACTATACCGTGCAGAAACCTCCCCCACCCCCAAAAAACTAGGCTCTAGGATCTGGGTATTTCTTTTTAATACTGCTATAAAAGGCATACCTAGGCATTTAGATTATACAAGTTTTATCCCTTCTCTCTCCCTTTGCACTCATGAGCTTCCATGCTCATGCAGTAGAAGATTATCTTCTCTGTAACAACAAATATTTCTGGAATGGCAGGACTTTTACAAGACATGCAAGATGTCACATTTTAGGACTTTGGAAATCCTGGAAGATGGACAACAACGTTTGGTGACCAAAGGCAAACTGAATGGATTGCTCTCACAGTGGTTCAATGACCATTTACTGTACAAGGTTGAAAGACCTGAATAAGGCCTTTCAGCCTGTATAAGGTTGAAAGACTGAAGAACGAGTTCCAAACATTTTACAAATATTTAAATTGACGATTCAAATTAAAGTTTATCCAGACTTGGAAAAAGAGTGATGCTTTTTAGTCATTTGCATCTTGTTTTTCTGAACATGTGGAGTTCAGGACTATGACACAGCATGCTGCAGGACAAATATTCCAAAGGTTTTGGAATATTAAAAAAAATACACTTTTTTTTGTTCTTTTGGGTTGGTTGGTTGGTTTTTAAATACAAGCATTCACTTAAGTCACCTTTTACCCAAGATTTTCCAAAACCAGTCATGCTCGGGATTCAACATTCCAACTATCCCTGCATACAGCGAACAGAAACATCCTCCCTGCCAAGCGCACATCTAACCGCCGATCGCTCCAGAACTTGCATTTGTTTTTATTTGCTCCGGAGCGTGCTCTGCTCCGTATCCTCTCTCCACGATTTCCACCCTAGAACGTGGGGAGTTGCCGCGTCAGCTCCAGCTCCGCGGGGAGGCCTCTGCGGGGCGCGCCCCCTCCCCCCGGAGCCCCTCCCCTCTCCGGGCCTGCTCACGTGATCACTCCCGAGAAGTGGGTGAAAGGTCGCGCCGCCGCAGCGCCGCGCAGGCCAACAACAGCCGAGCCTGCGGTGGGGGCAGCCCCGCCCCGGGCTACCGGCACCCCCAACCGCTCCAGGCTTTTCTACGCGGGCCGCGAAGGCACTACCAACGCCAAACAAAGAGTTTCCAAAGAGAAGGGGCCGCAAGCAATGAAGGAAGCAAAGTATACCTCAAAGCTAAGAGAAAAAAAGGGGTGTACTTAGCTTGTGCACTTTAACAGTTTCTGTTCTGGTTCTCAGTGCTAAAAAGCCTCAGTTGTTTGATGTTACAGTTTTCTTTAACCAAGAATAATGTTTTCTTCCTGGAAGAGACTCTTGAATCAAGGCTGTAACACCCCAGAATTTTAAAGAGCCCTCAGATCAACTTATCTTTCAAACCAAGCCACAGCTATGATGGAGCCTGATACCTGTGTCATCATGTAAAGTTACATTTCCTAAACTAATAGAGATCCACATCATACTTACCTACAATATCACCTGTGCTATTATAAACTGGTAATTATTAGTTTATATCAGTATATCAATATGCTCACAACAGGAAAAGAACCTGCTAATTAATACTGAAGACTACAATACTTTTTTATATAACATCCGTTCACAACGGTCAGAAAACACATCAAAGAGCTTGTAGATTTGGAAATTTAAGAGGTCAGATACTCGGGAAAACATAACTGTTTAAGGAAAGGAGAATGAAGGCATTAGATCTTCCCCAGCCTCAGTGCTATACTCCTACAGACATGTGATAAGGAAATGAGTAGTTTTCTGTACTGTAACCTCCTCTAGACTGCAGAGTTTCAGTACGATTGCCCTCTAAGTGCTGACAAATTGCCGGATAAGAGGAACAATGAGATATTTGTCTTGATCCTACTTTGCACTTTTCTCTTTCCAAAAAAGGTGCTTCCTGTTACAGTTCCATCAACACTAGTATAGATCTGTTATAACTGAAGTCATATTTTAGGTTGATTTTTCTATTTAAACCAGAAAACATAGCGCAAAATATGAAAGTTGTGCGAAAATGAGACAAAAAATGGATTTCCGAGATGCTGCAAAAATCTTAAAAAACCTTTTGCAACAGTGTAATTAGCATTCTCATCCAGTAAACCTGCCATGCCATGAACAAAATACACACAGACAGAAAATGGTGTATCTCAAGAGCAGTTTGCAGTGACTGCCGTTTTTATATGTTCCACAGCCTGCAATCACATGAGCATACGGACTAGTCCCTCTCTCACACGCAACAAAGTATTTAGTTTACGCTTGAAAACCCACCGCTGATACCAAGCCGCGTGCACACTTCTACAGAGCTGAAACTCATTCTGGTAATGGGTCAAAGCAGCTCCACTAACCCGCGAAGCTGCGGGTCACCAGTGTCGCCTTCGTTTACGCGGCGTAGATTTAGTGAATCTTCCCATGTAACTCTGTAACACCGCTCCCCCTACCCTCATCCCCTCCTCCCCTCCGCTCCCTTATCTGCGGCAGTAACGCACTAACCCTCAAGCCATGGGAAAAAGCGAGCAGGATGCCAAGGACACCTTGCCTTTCCAGGGCGCTCTCGCGCCCGCCCCGGTGGACCCTCCGGCGCCCGCCGGCACCGCCGGGGACCAGCCCCACTCCCACCACCCTCCCTGCGTTTTCACCCTTTCCTCCAGCAAGGATAAACCCCGCTTCGGAAACAGCACCCGGCGCACTCGCACGTTTACCACAGCACTTCGTGCTCGCCCTAACAAAAATAATAATTAGGCTAAAACCAGACCAACCGAGCCCGTCCGCCTGACCCCAGTCTCGTCCTCCCTCAGCCTCAAAGCGGACGGCGGCGCGCTGCGGGAGCGTCCCGGCTAGGGTGGGGGGACGAGGGGTGGAGCTGCAGCCCGCAGTGAATCAGCCGGACACAGAGAAACACGGCCCGTCGCTGCCCCCTCCCCCGTTCCCCTGGGACCGCCGGAGTCCACCGCCTGCAGGCGGCGGAGCTA